AAACAACACAGATAAAAAATTGAGTTAATAAGATTATACTTTTAAATTAAAGAAGTTAATTAGATCACAATAATACAGTAACAATACCTCTTCTTGCACGGTCATCATATGAGGTGGTTGAATATCCTCTCTCATTTATCATCATGTGGCAGGGCTTTAAATCTGGGATTGGACTTGTTGACGATCAGTTTTAGTTTTTCATAAAGTGCTGCTACAACTCTTTGCCTGAAGTGTTGACGTGGTGAGATGTCATAGGCAGCGGGGCTAAAGAACTTTAATCATATGCTTAAAGTTTGCGCAGCAACAACATTCGGACGTAGATCCAGAGCTTTCAAAACTCCTACACCTTTTGTTATTGCTTTGTACCTATCTGAATTACCTGATAAAGGTTGTTTAAATGCTGCTATCGGTCTTTGTACCAAGCTATGTTCACATTCGAATGATGTTGTTTCAACTGCGTTAACAAGTTAGACGTGTTGCCTGCAGTAGATCCAATCACCATGAAACAACGTTGACACACAGTTTTGGATTTGCACTTGTCTTTTAACAAGAAAGCCATAATGTTCCCAAACAGGAGACTGCAACGAGATGGCTTGTTCGTTACCTGCTAGGCTGCTAATGCTACGCGTGCTACAAGATAATAGCTCCGTGCTGAAACACGCATAGGAACTTTAATTCCGTGGCACATAATCTCTTGTTAATAAAATTTAATGAGTGAAATAAATAACTGAAACGGTACACACGTGTACCGAACCAAACATGCTGTACCGAAACGATTCAGTACACCCATGTGTACCGTTACATCACTACCAGCTCCCATGTAAAGAGCCTCAGGGTGTTTGTTTTGCAACGAGCTAAAATTATGCAGCATCATGCAGAGCATCTGTAACATTAGCATCCGGGACTATGTAAACAACTGTTATGAACACCACCGTGAACTCGCAGGGTAGATAATGTGTTTGACATTCTACTGTTAGCTGCTCCAAAGCCTTGCAGCATGAGCTGTTTTATCAGAGTACTGTTTGTACATCAACTTTTACTCACGTAAATGCATACTCCGCCTCTCCCTGATTTCCCCGTTAGCTCCCTGCAGCAGTCCGCTCGGAAAAAAAGTCTATCATCCAGCTGGAACGCTGAGTCCAGCATGTCGCTGTTAAGCCATGATTCAGTGAGACAAAGCACTGCACATTTCCTCATCTCCTTTGAGGTACCCACTCTCAGACGAAACAAATCCATCTTGTTGTCCAAAGAGCGGACGTTCGACAGAAAGAGAGAAGGTATCTGTAGTTTACCAGCCTTAGCATTAGCGTTTAGCCTTACTTGCACCCTCGCCCGGCAACCTTGCTTCTTAAGCCGGGAACAGCGCTTCCTCTTCCCGTTAGAGCAGCTCTGCTGAAGCTTCCAGGTAGATGACTTTAGGATCTGCATTTTGCCAAGCGTAGATCTGAGATCATTGCTGATCACTGCTGTATTCTGTGGTAAATCTGCTCTTGTTCTCATCAGTTTGATTCAGCTATAATTCACACACACAAAGCGTGCGGAGTCAGGCTCGGAGTCAATTTCAAAACTCCTAAAAGCTGAGATTGCACCAGGAGCCTGTGCAGCTGCGACTCCCAAGAGCGCAGCCATCTTGGCATTTCACACTGTATTCACACTGCATTTTTGCTGGAAATTCAATTTCTCAATTTTTTATTTCTAAATTTGCTATTTATTTTAATAATTTCCAAATGAGCAAAATAAGCAGCTACTTACAACTAATGAATGAAATGAGTGGCTCTGTGTAAATACTTGACACTTTTTATAAAACTGCCACATTGCATATTGTTTTATAGTGTTTATAAAATGAAGATTTATTTAATATTTTATTTTAAATTCTGAAGGCCAAGTAAATTTTGTGGCTCTGTACAGATTTTATGTTGTAGGGGAAATGTTTGAAAATGACTCTTGTAGTTGTAAAGGCTGTATATCTTTGGTGATGAGGGGTAAATCTGAAACACCTGACATTGTGATAATAAAGTTTTAATACCTCTCCTTGGACATTGGACATGTTCAGTACTATTATAATATAATGATTCACAGCCGAGAGATGCTTAACCACCAGACTTTTCTCTCATAATTTCTGAGAGCACTTCTCTGTTCTGAAATATTTTAAGATGATTAAGAGTTCCTCTGTAGGTGGCTCCAGATGGGGATGTAGGAAGGTGATAGTTTAATTATTTTATTTTATTTTTTAACTACAAAAATTGCAGCTTGGCGGTGACCCCGTTGATAATTACTTGTTTCAGCTAAATAAAGATGGAAGAAGATGTCTGCTGTGGATGTCTGCTCTCACCAGCAGGCTTCTGGAGATTCAAAGGTCTTTAAAACACAATCTGATGTCCTGAGAAGAAAGGATCTGTGGAAACAATGTGCTGATGTTTTTGAATCACTGCAGTTTGGCCAGAGAAATTCAAATCCATCCATCCATCATCTTCCGCTTGTTCCAAAGTCGGGTCGCAGGGGCAGCAGTTTGAGCAGGGAGGTCCAGATCTCTCTTTCCACAGCCACCTCTTCCAGCTCTTCTGGGAGGATTCCAAGGCTTTTCCAGGCCAACCGAGAGACATAGTCTCTCCAGCATGTCCTGGGTCTTCCCCAGGGTCTCCTCCAAGTCAGACATACCTGAAGCACCTCCCTAGAGAGGCACCCAGGGGGCCTTTTGACCAGATGCCTGAACCATTTCTTCTGGCTGCAGCTAATTTGGCCCTTATCAGACCGTCTGCTTGTGAAGGTTTGGTTTGTGCTTTGAGGACTCAAAATAAGCTGATTTATGAGCTAAACTGTAAGATGGAAGTGATTTGTGAGAATCACAGGCCACCTGCAGCTTTGGGATTTGCCAGCATGAAACAACCTAGGAGGGGCTTGTAAGCACGGACCAGTAGAATGCACCCTAATCTGTCCATTTTGGATCTTGAAAGTATCAATAAGACTCAAGGCTGACAAGAAAAATAGTCTGCCTGAAAAAAATCAACAATTGTGGCCTATATGAATCTGACTCCCCCGGTTGCCCTCAAAAACAGGCTGATGTATCAATTTCTCCTGGGAAATGTGTAAACTAAGGAAAAGCTTTGTCTACCCCCACCCCCCCACCCCCACCCCCACCACCAACAACAACAACTTCTGTGGGGGCTTATCAGAACTGTGCCGGCTGACCATCATCTTATCAGGACAATGAACATTCTGTTGGTGCTTCATGGACCACCTCGTCGTCAAATGCATATGTAACGTGTTCATAAATGTGCTTTAGCTGGCAGAGAGTTTTTATGTCTTAAATTGTGTCCTGATAGGACATGGTGTGAAGAGATCTTTTTTGTAATACTACAACTCTCTCCTCATGGCTTTGTCCCTTTTTCTATCTAAAAAAATGTATTCTAAAAAAGATAAGAGGCAGCGCCATCATAGCAGCAGCTTCGTGCACTCCGCCCATCTTTTGGACGACTGTATGTTCTCATTGTATCTCGGTGAATTGATAATAAAGCTGATTTTTGATTTTGATTTCTGCTTCTTTTAGTCTAATTCAGTTAACTTGTGTTCTTTCTGCTTTCTTCTTTTAAACTTGTTCTACCTTTTCATCTACATTGTTAGCATTTTTAGCTAATTTAAGCTGTTCTCAGATATTCAAATTTTTCGTGGTAATTTCTGCTACTTTTAGTCTAATTAAATTCTTTCTGCTAATTTCAGCTTGTTATGCTCCTTTCGGTTTATTTCTGCTAGTTTCAGCTTTTTCTGCTAGTTCAGCTACTTTTTAGCTGTTTTGTGCTAAATTTTGCTTTTTCATGTAATTCCACTTTTTTTTAGCTCTTTTCAGCTACTTCCACTTGCTTCTGGTAGTTTAAGCTTCTTTCTGCCTTTTCAGCTACTTTTCATTTATTTCTTCAGCTTTTTCTTTTATAGCTAATTTTGTAATTTTTGTTCTCATTTCTGCTTTTTTAAACCTAATTCAGCTAATTGGTGTTCTTTCTGCTTTCTTCTGCCAACTTAGGCTTCTTCTTCCATTTCAACTCCATTTCAGTAGGTTTTTAGCTAATTTCAGCTGTTTTTTTAGCAAATTCTTCATCAATAAACATTCATGCCGCATTTTTGTGGGAAATGCAATTTCTCTAGTTATTATTATTATTATGTATTTTGATCAACTAAATTAATCTGGAAAACATTTTGACCCTTTGGCATTTTGATGACAATCAACCTCACAGCCAGTCTTCAGCCGCAAGGACTTTCCACAGTAATTTAGTTTACTGATCTGTTTTCTTTGTGGTCCGTGTCTTTTCACCTAACCCTCTCTCACAATGGCATTAGTGAAGATTTGTGTCACAGCGGTGGAGCTCCTGCTGAAGTTGCTGCAGCTGCTCGTGTCATTGCATCAGCTGGTGTTACCCTCCCGAAGCCAATGCATGTCTTATAGCTGCAGAGAAATGCTCCCACCAGCTCTCCCCGCTTGAGGTTTAGAGTTGTTGCTATAGAAACGATTTACATAAAAGAAACGCGCCCCCTCTTCTGTAGCAAAGTGGCGTATTATTCACGACAGGTAAAGAAGAGAGATCCAGTGTCTGCAGCTCTGTCAGCGTGTAGAAGAAGGCACAGGATGCAGTATTTATTCATCTGCACACATGTGTGTGCATGTTCTTGTTTCAGGTACAGAGTGAGGACCACCATATGTTTTTAACCAACAAAGTGAGGTCATTTTTGGGAAGTGAGGACATTTTCCTGGTCCTCACTTTGTTTTCAATGGAAATTAGCTGTACTAGCTATACAGTGTGTGTGTGTATGTGTGTGTATGTGACAGTCAGCACCAGGTACAGCTGCAGAGTCTGAGCAGCTCTGTTGTGTCAGAACCAGCTTTTGTCCTCTGTGCTGGATGGAGCAGTGAGTGTCTGACACTGTCGGTGAGGTAACTGCTGCTCTCTGTGAAGCCAGACACAATGCCTGTTTTTCTTGTTTACCTTCTTCCCTCTCCTCCTCCTCAGTCTCCAGGTGGCGTAGCTCCCTGTCCATCCCTTCCACCACCTCCTTCCCCGGATCCCCTTCAACTCCAGCTGTCGGTGTGTCTTCCATCGACACTGCCCCCTCAGTCAAACCCTGCTCAACTCCCCAACCGGCTGAAAGACACGGTAGTCAAACAGAGGCAACATTTTAATATTTTAAATGCTCTTATTGTAATAACTGAGTCCTAGCTTTGATTCTTGTGTTTGAACTTGAGCTTGTGTAGTTTGAACCTTGTGTTTATGCCTTTCTTGCAGCAGCTTCATCCCTGTCCTCCCCCCTCTATTGCATTCTGAGCCCTGTGGGGAAGGAGCTCTCCCCTGTAGCTGAACGGACTCCCACATTCCTCCCTCACCAGACCAGTCGAAGTAAGACTCCTATTATCAGACAATTTGTGTGCAAGAAACTGGGGCTGGCTTGTTGCATGCGTTCATATCAGATGGAGTCTTCTCATTATACGCAGCTATATTTAAAGTGTGCTGAAAAAGAAGAGTGTGACAGATTTGAGTGCATTATTAGTGATGGAAAAGTCATGTTGCAGCCAGCAGGGGGGCCAAAGCTGCAGGGAACAAGAGGAAAACACAACATGTAGCAGCAGAAGTCAGCAGCCACAGGCGCTCTCCCTCTGGAGGGGGTTTCCATGGCAGAGAAATGTGGCATCAGACGCTCCGGTTCTGCTCCGTATTCGGTTTGCTGTCAGGAAACATGAAATATCATATTACTGTCAAAATTATGTTTTTTTAAGCTGATAATTTCCAACTCCAAGTTAAAGAAAAGTTTTATTCGCTGGTTGCATTTTCAGACATTTGTTCAATTTGTAAAATGCATCCTCTTTTAAATAATAAACATGATGCCTCATGATGCCCGGATGCCTCAAACCTCCCCCAGCGATTTATAAAGTATCTGTCTATCTATCTACCTATTGGTCTATCAATCTATCAGTCTATGTGGTCTGTCTGTCTGGTCCATCTATCAGTCTGTCTGTCGGTCTGTCTATCTACCTATTGGTCTTTCAATCTATCGGTCTTTCAATTTATCGGTCTTTCGGTCTATTGGTCTGTCTGTCGGTCTATATGTCTTTCTTTCTTGTCTTTCTGTCTGTCTATTGGTCTGTCTATCTATTTACCTATCGGTCTTTCGATCTATCGGTCTGTCTGTCTGTCTGTTGGTCTGTCTATCTATTTACCTATCGGTCTTTTGTTCTATCGGTCTGTCTGTCTGTTGGTCTGTCTATCTATCTACCTATCAGTCTTTCGATTTATCGGTCTTTCGATCTATCGGTCTGTCTGTCTGTCTGTCTATATGTCTTTCAGTCTGTCTGTTGGTCTGTCTATCTACCTATTTATCTTTCGATCTGTCGATCTGTTTGTCGGTCTGTCAGTCTGTCAATCGATCTATCTGTTGGTCTTTCTGTCTACTTATCAATCTGTCTGTCTGTCGGTCTATCTATCTAACCATTGGTCTTTCAATCTATTGGTCTTTCTATCAGTCTTTCAATCTATCAGTCTGTCTGTCTGTCTGTCTGTTGGTCGGTCTATCTATCTAACTATTGGTCTTTCAATCTGTCAGTCTTTCTATCAGTCTTTCAATCTATCAGTCTGTCTGTCACCTGTCTGTCGGTCTATCTATCTACCTATTGATCTTTTATCGGTTTGTCTGTCGGTTTGTCGGTCGGTCAATCTGTTGGTCTGTCTGTCTGTCAGTCTACTTAGCTATCGATATGTCTGTCTACCTACCTATCGATATGTTTGTCTTTGTC